CATCCTACTCATGTACTATTTTCAAATAAAACCGCGGCACAGGATAAAAGAAAAGAGCATCATCATGTTCGTTTGTAGGGAGATTTCCTTAAATTATCTCTTATCTATTAGACAAGTCCGTCCGTCCGTCTGTGGTGCTGTTTCAGCGGCCAAACCGTAAGAGATAGATAAAGAGAATATTTAAGTTATAAGTTAAGAATAGTCTGATAAGACTACAAACCGGATTTGAGTAACGTAGCACTTCCGGTTTTCGAGAAATCACGAATTTCAAGCGAAACGACAGAAAATCTCCGAAGTTCTCAATTAATTAAATATATTTTTTTTAAATCAGGTTTTGGTGAACATTTGGTTCACTGGTTTGCTAGTCAAATATAATATCCGGGGAATCCAGATGCTTCCCGACCGTCTGGTAACCCTACATCCAATATGCGTAGTATGTCCCACAAACACGCGTGTGTAACGGAGCGTGGGGTCGGCACGCGTAATTCGCGTCTATTTCTGTACCTGCGTTTGTATTGTTGTGTATGATGGCTAGTTGAAAGCTTCATTGCGTTCCTATTGCCGAACCAATGTTTGATTGACTATTTCTAATAGGGATAATGACTTTTTTTCTTCGTTTATCAGGTAGATTATCAAAAAGTATTGGACACGTATTTTTTCTTTTTTCACTTAATATAAACATTGCGGAGATATATTGATTTGAAAAGTCGCATGACGTCACGTTTGAGTACACTAATAAGTGAAAATTCACTCAAAAGTGACATCACGAGCCCCTACTCCCAAACTTTGACGCGCTATAACTTTGTCATTTTTTGGTTGATTGCCCAAAGAAAAAATACGTGTCCATTATTTTTTGATCATCTAACTGACGGACTAAATAGAATTTCGTTTACTGTACCCCGTCATCACCCAGCTATGAACGGTCAAATCAAATTAAATTAAACAAATATTGATTTTCCATCACAACAGAGATCCTAAGTTTGTCTTGTTTAGCAATTACAATGTTGTGGCTCCTCTATTTGTGATAAACTGGTGCCTGAAATAGGTTTCAGCAATAGAAACCTGTGCTATAGGTACCCTTAGTACGAGTTTGAGCTCACGAAAACTACCATAGTTTTCGTAATTTTAAATTATGTTTCTACGTCCATTTTGTTGAAAAGCAACCAAGTATACTTACTTAAAATTTAAGAAGACGCAAATGATTTAATGATAGAATTTTAACACTGTTTATTTGTATTGAATCGAAAACGATAAATTCAGTACCCTTAGTACGAGTGCGAGCTCAAGAAAACTATCATAGTTTTCGTAATTGTAAAACTCGTACTAAGGGTACAGGCCCAATCACAGGTAGCATAACTTCCACGAATGGTACAATACCTTCGGACAGTTGAAATCTATATACCTATTGTTGTTACATCAGCATTGAATAGAGGAAAAAAAGTAATAACAAAAAAAAAATATGTTCTATCTCATAGATAGCTAGAAAATTATCCAGTTTCTAATAATAATAACCAAAAGCTGCGCGTATGTGTGTGAACGGTAGAGCTTTTAAAGTGAAAAAAATATCCTTTTAATATGTACGTAGATTTAACGAAGGTAGTTTAACATATCGCAGAAACTAACACAGCAAAGATCTCTCTTTGTTATACCTACCACTTTCACTGTGCATTCGGCCTTTGGGTTGCTAGTAGAGACGGACTTGCAGAAGGTTTTCATACCGTACGTAACCTTGATAAAAAACACGTTTGTTGTATGGGTAGGGTAAAAATATATTCAATTAAAGTCTTCGAAGGTAGCTCGACAAAATTAAATAAAAAAAATGATTCCGACGACACGTCAATAAATAAATAAAGTTTCGTGCATTAACCCGTGAAAAACTAGTTTTATTTAATGAGTGATGTGCGTGAAAACCTAAGAAACAAATATAAAAATATATTTTCTTGTCATTTCTCGTTTCGGCGGAAATAGAAAACACATTATAGGTAAAAATATATGATGTATGTCTACTTTGCTTACAGACAGACAAACCCATGAACAACACAGATTTAGAAAGTTAGGTTTCCTGTCACAATGTTTGGGTAAGAAACTTGAAAAATAAAGATTCAGAAATAGCCTTTGTAACCATGTCCATATCCATTAGGTACACTGTAATCTGCCAGTATTTTCGAGGACTCCTCAAAATGTCAACCGTAAAAGATGGCGGCATTCACATTTATAGCAGCATTACGCAGTTTCTGCGGTTATTTCACGAGTAAATGTCCCGGCAATTTTCACACTTATATACCACGATGTATACATACTGTATGTATACATTGGGGTGCTCTTAACCCGCAGCGCTTTAGGCAGTGTTTTGTTTTTTCTATCACATGAATAAGTATACGTTTTTGCATCGTAAGTGTATAAACAATGGTGGGGTTGCCTGACAGATGTGGTTCGCTTTTCGGTCGCACGTCGTCACGTCCGGTCGCTAGATGGAGCTATTTATGAACAGTTAGTTAAATTTGATTATAGTGAGTTCCGAGAGGCAAAAATAACCATTTGTCAAAATTTTACACATTTACTAATATGTATTTGAGGTGACATTAACTTAGTAAAGTTATTAGTCTCATTTATTTTTCTACTGTTATATCATATGTTTTTGCTTTGTAATTGTTTGCAGTGTCGTACAGATAAATGACTTTAAGTTTAAGTAAATATGTTGTGGTTGATATAGGTGGTTATGGGTAGTCATGCTCTCTTAAAAGTCTCTTCGGTGGTCTCGTGTGAGGCGGGTCGTTATGTTCCCTAAAATATGGTTGAGCGAAGCGATGGCTGGTTCATGCGTCATGCTCGTGAACGGGTGCTGCCAGCGGAGATGAGTCTGCCCTAACTACTTTGATATTTAAGATGAAAATGTTTAATTACACCTATTATAAATAACTCTGTATTTATACTGTGTGGCAGAGCAATCAAAATACAGGTGAAAAAAAAATGAATAATTTCACATTATGTAATGAAAGGTGATTTCATGAATCATCTCTGAAGTTATTTTTCAACTTGCCGACTCTGTAAATGATTTATCATTTACAGGGAGAAAAAAAACAGCCCTTGTTGAGTTTCTTGTCGGTTCTTCTCAGTACAAGGTCTCCCGCCGTAGATTTAGGAACCGATGGCGTAGCTTCTAGACATTAATATGTGCTTGTAACAGCTTAAACTGAATAAATGATTATGATTATTATGATTACTAACAGCCGCCCGCGGCTTTGTCCGCGTTAACCTTAGTATTTTGGGAATCCCACAGGAGCCTGACATTTTTCCGGGATAAAAAGCATCATATGTCTCAAACTAGGTTAAAAACTAAATGCGTACCGAATTTAATCTAGATCTGTTGAGTGTTTGTTACCAAGGCCGCGTGAGGGATCCTAAATCTGCAGCAAGGCGGCCAGCAGTGCTATACTGTAAGAACAATCAAAATTTTCACCTCCGAGGTTACAGTAGCACTGTACAATAGCACTGCTGCACCCAATCCCTTACCCCGTAAGACTTTGGAAAGTTTACTAACCACAGGAAGATAGAACCACCAAAACTTACCTAGTGTTATTTCACACAAGTCTTCTGTAAGGCGGGAGTTACTTCCTTGGCGAGCCCTTCTGCTTTTTGTGTTGGTGCATATTGTGAACGAGGAGCTCGATGGCGCGGGTGGTTAGCGCGTTCGGTTGCGATCGTTGAAGTTAAGCAACATTCGCAGTGGTCGGTCATTGGATGGGTGACCAAAAATCTTCTATCTCTAGTTCCTCCGTGCTTCGTAGGGCACGTTAAGCCGTTGGTCCCGGCTGCATCTGCAGTCGTTAGCACCCACCAATCCACAGTAGACCCGCGTGGTCTACGGCCCAATCTCCCTATTCCATCCACAGGGAAGGCCTGTGCCCCAGCAGTGAACATATTAATAGGCTGATGATGATCGTATTGTAAATTTATCGAAAATTCGAATTCCAATCCAAAAAACATGTAAGTTGGTATAGTTTCATTGGTTCCATGGTGGTACCAAGTAACTCGTGATTTTTCTTCTCATTCAGAGAAGCCTTGTATGTGCGAGTACCTTACAAATATTTACGCCGAAGTAATTGAGTTAGACAGGTGAAGCGAGGGGCTATTCTGGGCTTTAAGTGACGGTGACGCTCAAATCCACAACCAATCTAATTTAATTGGTTTAAGTCGATTTAAGTTGGTAAATTTAAGTGTACCCACACTGAATGGAATAAAAAATATTTTAAATTACATATTTTGAAAATCTAAATTCATAACCGAACTTTTTTATGAAAAGTATTTAATGAGAATAGAATCATGAATGAAAGTCAGCGCTGGATTCAACCGCTGGACTGGAATGCTACTGAAACATATATGTTACTAGCTGACTCGGCGAACTTCGTACCGCCCAAAAGTAATAATTTGCAATAAATTAAAATTGCGACTATAATTTGAGATTTAAACTATCCTATCTCTCAAGTTGGATCGAACTGCACATGGTGTGCGAATTTTATTATAATCGGTTCAGTAGTTTAGGAGTCCATCGAGGACAAACATTGTGACACGAGATTTATACATATTAAGATATAGTCCGACGAGCTTCTAGATTAGGGCGGTCTGCTGCGGTGCCGAAGCGGTGCGTTTGTCGTGCAGCGTACGGACGATCCTTTTTTTTTCACACAAAACGCGCGGTGCGGCAACAGTCCTGTTGTCGAGCGTTCGCGGTACCGGCGCCGCACCGATGCCGCACCGCGCGTTTTGTGTGAAAAAATAGGATCGTCCGTACGCTGTACGACAAACGCACCGCTTCGGCACCGCAGCAGGCCGTCAAGAAACGCATAAATTGAAAGCGCCCTAAAATTTTTAAAAAATTCAGCTATTCTTTCTCATTTTAATTGTTTTATTTTACCTCTCCTAAGCGTTTTTTTCTGTATTTCATGAATTTTTGCCCAAACTTGTATTTTTTATTCTAAAAGCTGTCTCTTTTGTTCCAGAAATACGTAGTTAGTACGGATCGGAGTGGGGACATCCATGTTCATGTACAGGTGAGGTTTAAAACATAATGGAATGAAATGAATAATGAATGAATGGATGAATAAGGAATAAAAGCCAAAGAAAACCCTCCATCAAATCGATGAGTGGACGACATTAAAGGGACGCCGACCTTAATTGGGTAACTAAAACTCAAGACCAAACTCGGTATAAGAAATTGAGAGAGCTCTGTATTAAGAAATGGACGCAAGGACGCAATATTAAGACATATTAATTTAATGACATATCCGTAACTTACAACATAATAAGACTATTCAATAATATCTTACTCGAAACTATCACTCAAAGGTTAATGGCAAAATGGTAAAGGTTAAAAAGAATTCTATGATCATGGGTTCGATTCCCTTTTAGGCCAATGTTTAAATGAATGAACGACTAAAAAAACTTTATTTAAGTTGACTTTTTAAAAGCTCTTTAGAAGCGTCATTATTATATATTTTTTCCTATCAGCTGTTCAGGACATCTTTTAGCTAACAAGAAGAACAGGCAAACGAAACCTCTTAGCTTTTTATGAAGTAACGACGTTTACATAAAATACTCGACTGATAGGTGTTTGAGAAAGGGATTTCAAAACGACTATACAGAATTGAAAGAAATGTTTCAAACTTTGCAATTTGACCTTGACTGCTAGTATTATGTAGTAATTAATTAAGCACACACGATGCTTGATACTTGTAATAGCGATCTTAATTAATTTGCTGTGAATTAATTACATGGCAGTGAATACATACCGTTGTTTATTGTGGTGATGGTGATTCTGTAGTAAACAATACTAATATATGAAACGTTAGTACTGTTTACAATATAATCAAATTGCTTGAATTACTGGATGGATTTTATTAAAGCGAAACTTTTATGATATCGCTACAAATTTTGTAGTTTATCTTTAGCAAGCATGTCCGATTGCATTTTATAAAGTTATAAAAAAATCAGACTTTATCAACATGCATCGGTGTTTTAGTGGTAGAAAGTTCACTTTGTTACGCGGGCGGCTCGGGTTCGAATCCTAGCCTACCCTAGTCTTGGAAGTGTTTTTTAAATAAATCATTTAATTATCGTTTTATAAAACCACACCGGTTTTGGTAGCTTTTAGGAAATCAGAAATCAATATATCTTTATTCAAATTAGATTGTACAGTACAACTCTTTTAAATCATCCTAAAAATTTGCTTCCCTTACCACTCGTTATTGGACACTTAATATATCCGTTCTTTCAATTTGTGTAACAAGGACTTTAAACTATATATGTATTTATTTTTTGCATGCTTCGATCAGGGTACTATCCCGAGACATGGACAGGTGAGATAAAAATTAAATTATTTATTTTACTTTTCATTTAGGTAAGTGGTGTTTTAGCAGTCATACAGATAAGCGCACAATAATCCGTGTGTCTGTTCAGATTTGAAAACGACATCAATCGTGTCTGAAATTATACCTATAGCATGGACCAATCCATGCCTATAGTAAATACAGGGTGTAAAAAAACCTATAACGAAGTCGAAGGCCACGTATTTTCCACATCATGATGATCATTTTTTTCTTCTGGACCACACCTGGGAAATTTATGGTTATGGAGTGGCATGATATGGTTATGGTCAAAGCCAAAATATTTTTTCAAGATTAATACATTATTTTTTTCAAAACGTTATTTAGAAACTTTTTTATCGACGCACTTACACACACGCACACTCATACACACAACAGGCACATTCTTTGCGTAGCGCCACAGTAAAGCGCCGCGCTATAAATTGCGTGCTGGAAAAAAAAATGTTTTTTTTTTTCACTTAAAATACAATATTTTCCTACCTATAATATTTTGTAACTAATATGACTTGTTTGGGTGTACAGAATGCGTAGTTTAAGTCTTTGTCATAGGTTTTTTTACACCCTGTATAATGGTAACCATTTTGATTATTTATACGCTTAAATAGAGCACTCCAAAAACTACTGAAAAAAACGGCTCGCGTTACGCGCAATGTGTCCGTGACTTTAATGTTAGATTGTATTAAAGCATATCTATCATATGTAGTAGATATTTTTTCCGCTGCTTCCATGCAGTTAAAGGGTTACCATTTGTTTTCAAAGAAAATGTTAGAATTTATTGATATCCTATATCTTTACGCTGCGTTTCGAGCGAAGTAGGCAAAGTGGACAATGGTATCGATTCTGACACGATTCTCTAAATCTAAACTTAAATTTGACAACAGTGTATCCTTGTCATTCTCTATACAAAATGAAAAGGATTGACTGATGTTAAATTTTGTTTTAAATTTTGAGAATCACGTCAAAATCGACACCAATGCCACTATTGTATCTAGTCACGGTGCGTAAGGGTACGGCCAGAGTGCACTCAGATTCAGAAAACAAGTGCGAGAAATAAACAGTGTAGTTAAAGCAGGGTGGCCATAGTGGCAGCAGGCAACCTGCTTAAACTACACTTTATACTTCTCGCGCTTGTTTTCTGAGTCTGAATCTGAATCTGAGTGCACTCTGGCCGTACCCTAAAGGTATACACGCCTCTTAGTTCCATTGCTTTCATATATTTTCAAACTCGCGTAAGATAAACAAATTTCTTGTGACCGCGTACCCTAAACAGGATACGAAACGGGACAATAGTGAAAACATAAAAACAAAATGCGTTTCATAGGTATCCGTTTAAAAAGTGTTTTAATACAATATGATTGGTGTGCGTGAAAACAAAAGAAATGAGAATCTTATTTCCCAACCAATCACATCACTGAATGATTTCCCAGTTGTGTCATTGGTGGTGATAGGTAATATTTAATACATTCTGTCAGCAATTTTATCATCCTGACCTACTTGCACTAACGTGTTTAAATCAAATTTTAAAGTTAAACGTGCGCAGGCCTTTGCACACACACGTGTTCCCTCCATCCTACAATACTCTAACCGTGGCAGTTCTTAACTGCTGCACCAGTTTCACCACCACTCAACATTATGTGGGGTAGACTCAATTGCCTACCTAACTATAAAAATCATTTTACCCCTATTTCATTTCAAACCTTAGATTAAAACAAAAAGGGTAGTAGATACGTCACTCGCGGCTCAAAAGTGATCCGCTTAAATTGTGGTGCATGACCACAATTCGCTGTAGTCACAATTAGACATTCAAACACGTTGCATGTACACTCAATATAACAATATTGCTTATATTCTGTGTTATAAAGATAAAACAATGCCTTCGATGCTTTTATAAAGCACACAAATAGTTCAAAATCAAATAACAAATGCCTCGGCAACACCTCTCATTCGTAAAACTGTAAAATCATTTTTTCTCAAAAATCACGGTTTGTCGTTCGCACTCGGAAGCCGATTTGCCGTTTCGCTCGCTCTGCGTTGAAGCGTACAGTTCTGTCTCGCTCGCTTGATTGAATGTTATTTACAGACGTGTGCATGTGTGAGAGTTGCTTATGTAGTTAAGTCGGATCATATTTTATTTGATGTTAGTATGACCGTACCGTATCTTCCCTTTTATTTTAATCTAAGTTTCAAACAATTGAAAACGATGGATGTGTAAAACAGGATAAGTTTTAATTTTTATACAAAATGTTGGTGCTAGTGGTGCTAAATAACGTTATTTAAAAAAAATATACAAAAATATGTATGTATCGTTTGATCTCATATTACCACAGTAATGGAACTTTTCCTGATATTTCGCTTTACCTTTTCCCCAAAGATATAACCGGCGTGACGTGGCAATGCATGCTATATTTATGAGCTTATACCATATATCCTCGAGGATCACGCAACCCCGGAAGGGATCTCAGGTGAGCCACACTATTCGGATCTGCCATAAATTACAATTCAGTATGGATAGTGTGTAAAATTCCCAGAGCCATAAAAGTCACTTCAAGGATTTTCGACAGCTCGACATTCGATGTAAATCCTTTTCCACCTATAGGGGGCTGACATTATTGATGGTGTTTTTTCTCAGACAAAGGGGATTTTGTTTTTGCGTACACCTTAGATATTATTTTGTCTGATTAATTTATGGCTACAAATTAAATAGGTAAATATACACCGGTGTAAATCGCGAAATCTTGATATCTTATAAATCCTGGAAATATGGGATTTATTCGGGCCTAAAATCTAATCTGGAAACAAATATGATAGCCTTCGACTACCAGTCGGCCATATAATTAATTAGACTTTTACTACATTGATAGTGGAAAGGTAAAGTCGCTTTTACACCACTTTGATCGAAGATGAGGGATATATCATTTGTACCCGATTTTTTTTCTGCGTCGATCAGAACCCCTAACACGAACCAATATCGAATTCGTATCGTTTGCGAGTCCGTAATGTCATTGTCAAATGTGTACTGATTTTTAGTTCTCGTTACGTACTTTGTGCCGCTGCTGTTCAAGTTTCTATACAAAATTTGACATTGACTTTTCGGTTTGCAAACTATTCGAATTCGATAATGGTTCGTGCTAGGGGTACTGTTAATATTTCGTGAAGATTTGAATACTTTTTTAGCGCTTAAACAACTAAATTTTTGGATAATTTTTATTGTTCAAATACATGCATGGACCATGCAAGGATGACACGCAAAATCGTGAAGCGTTCCAAATTTTTTCGTTAAATAAATTGTTGTCGCTCTAATCAATGCGGAGCTAACCTATAAGTGTCTGCTGTAAACAGAAGTTGGTTAATCCAATAAATAAATAAATTCACTATGCTGAAGTAACATACATTTTGGTATTTTTTGAACCAATGGCGCTTACGCCCTACTATTTGGCGTATGATTTGATGTTTGCTTGACAAAAAATGAATGGTGGGCAGAGTGATGTTTGTTTAAGCGACATATAATTCGTAAAGTAAAGGCACTATGAAACTTTATCATAGGAGGATATTTAGAAAATATCATTTTATGAATATATTTTATAATTTTGTGAAAAAAAAAACTGATCCACGTTTCTGTAAAGTTACTATACTGGCATTTAAGCGGTTTGACTTTTCCACTGTCGATA